TCCACCACCTCCTATCCTACACTGAGATCCTAAGCGATGTGTTCTGCTAAAGAACCTCATTTCATATATTTATTAATAAGATGATTGTAACATTCTCGTATAATGATAGCTTCTGTTACTTCGGGGTGTTGTTTTCACCCAGCTGTGATCAGAGTAATGATATATGAGGCTGTTGACTTTTTGCAGTGGGTAAGTGCAGCACTTGACTTTTCAGTGTGTGTAAATAAAACAGTAGATGTGCATACAGAATGCGTAATACACAGAACACTAGTACAAATAATCAGAGAAGAAAAGATCCTGTGTATAATCTTAAAGTGTGTGTGTGCCTAATTTTGGAAAATTCACTCCAAATTCCTTCATTCTAAATTCTTCAATCTGTTAATGCAGGTCTTTCCCTGGCAGTGTAAGCTGCTTAAAAGAACTCCCCAGCAGCATGCTAACAGAGGGAGATTTCACTAAAGATTTGAATGCTTAGTAATACCAGACCACATGGACCAGCGCAAATCTCTTTTAGATGCTAGTGGGGGTACATTTCAGAAAGTGCTGATTTTGTAGTATTTGCCATATCAATTACTGCCATAAAAGAAGCTGTGTTAAAAATGCGCTGATGCACCTTAGCGTATTATGACTTACTTTCTCAGTGACCGAGGCTGACCATGTTTTACAGCACATTTTGGTATGGCAGGTCACAGAGATAATCTAAAGTCATATAATATACTCAGACTGGAATAACTCAGTAATTAAGGTTAGTTTTTATTAGTGTTGTAGTACTCGAGTCCTGTCTTGGTCTTGAGACCATAAAATAGCGATGTTGGTCTCATCTTAGTCTCAACCTCCCTGGTCTTGGTCTCGGGGGTAAGGAGGACATTTTTTTGAGACCAGCTGAGTCTGAGGTAACTGAAAGCTGAATTATTATTGAATATTACCAAAACCAGAATAAACAGTATAAAACAGTGCTTTCTCTGTGGACCAAACTCTCTGCTCTGCGCTTCTCATCAGCTGCGTCGCTGATACGCACGCGCAGACGTGCTGCCAGAACACAGACAGAAATCGAGAATTTCTATGTCTGTTTAAAAGGAATAATAACAAAGACAACTTTCTTTACTCTATCACCCGTTGTGCTTGTATGACATGATAAGTAATTGTTTGTTTAATTTTTTTTATATTTATAACTGTGAGCAACAAAAGTTATTTACACAGTTTAGCTCATCACTCAACTGTGTGAGACTAACAGGTGTTGTCAAAATGTCCTACTGTACAGCGTATTTCTGGGCAGAGGTCTACATAAAAGTGTAGGTACGATATTTTGATAGCATAAATCACACAAAGCAGAAGTCAGCTTCTTATTTGCCAGCTTTTTGTTCAAATTTTCCCGTTCCACCTTAAATGCTGCAGCAGTCATTCTGCTGCCTCAGCCCACTGAGGCACTCGGGTACCATTTAAGGTGGAACTCCTTATCAGAAAATGTTACTAGCATTGAAAGAATAATAAAGTTACTGAGAGCTGTAGTTTACTGTTCATATTACATGGTTTATAAATCTGTTGATAGAATATCATTAATTGTAGTTAATCTTTGGCTAAATTCTGCTGTATTTTTAGCTATTTTCCCTATTTTATGTGACCATGTAATATTATTAACTTCTCCCTACAACAGTCACAGTAATATGTAAAGGACAATGTAGTAATGTTTTAAGCTATATATTTAATGTTATATTTTACAAAAAGCAATAAGATATAATGTAATATAATATTATGTATTAGTATACATAATGTAATATATATATATATATATATATATATATATATATATATATATATATATAATAAGTATAATATATATAATATATATAAGTAATGACAATGAATGTATAATGAACTACAAATGAGTTTCATTTTTTTTATTTCTTTTGTCCTGAAAAAAATCTTAATCTGAACTCGGCCTTGTCTCGGAGTCGACTACTAAAAGTCTTGGTCTTGACTTGTACCCAATGTGTCCTGGTCTCAGTCTTGAATTGGACTCGGTCCTGACTACAACAGTAGTTTTGTATTATATAATCTTTTTTAGTTTTATAACATTTGTTTTGTAGCATTATAACTACAGATCTGCTCCACTCAATTGAAATAGTGACATCCTGACGTTCACTTCAGTCATTTCCTGACTGCATCTATTTTGAGTAAACTATGACAATAGTACATCTCCTATGTAAGATTGCTCTTAAAATCTATGGGGAAGGTTTTCACTCAGAGTGCAACAAATTATCCAAAAGCAAATTCAGTTTCAAAATCACTAAAAGATTGGTGAAGTATTTATTTAGATGACAGACATACAGTATTTGAGCACCGCTCACTAAAAAAGTCTGAACAATATTACTTCCAATTCTGTAATTTCCAGCAGTGAATGAAATTCTTATGCAATATACCATCATGAACACTGTCTCAGTCACCAACTTTCATTTTAATGTAGAAATGGACACTGGGAGTCTTGCAGTGAAATGACAGGTTTGGACACTTTTAGAAGCTTTGCTTGCAAGAAGAAACTTGCCTCACAGACTTCTACTCTAATCTCATTGAGTAGTCTCACTGCTGTGGTCAATTACAACAATACTGTAGATGTATTATTTTGACATTAATGTGTCACTGATGTGATCCACATCAAAAGGGTAAAGACATTTCGTAAGATCTCCCCTCCATTAAGAGTTCTGGATGGCATGAGCACGCAGACTGGCTGCTCTTGCTGTGTGGCTGTGGTGTGGCTGTGGTGTGGTTGAGTGAGGGAAGGAGCAGCAGGAGTGTGCTCCCAGCAGCACTCTGCTATTAACTAATGACACTGTGCAGGTCCTGCCTTACGAGGAAAGCCTACATACTAATTAAGGGCAGGGCTGATCCTGAGTGCAGGCTGCACGCACGCCGCGGGACCTATTAACCCCAGTAGAGGCCAGTGGGTCACACACTGACCCCCTCTACGGCGCTGATGTAACCGCTCAGGACAGCTCTCTCCAGCACTGCACACAGAACATACACATGCAAACAACACGCACACACAGGGGGTGGAAACTGCCAGCTGGCTACTTCAGGATTAACCCTCCAAGCTGTATGGTGAATATCCCTTGAAACACTATTCTTTCATTCAAAGAAACAATTTCTTACATTCTTTCATTTTCTTTCATTTTTTTCAATAATTTCTCTCTAATAGCCACTTTTTTAGGAAGTTACTCAAAAAGGTAATTCATTACAATGACTAATTCTTTCTCTTAAACTGTGATGGGATTACTTTACTGACAGCTTTACTCACTACACATTACTTCACTTCTGCATTACTCTGTAAAACCCACACAAACGGAAGGTACAAAGGGAAGTCTAGTGGTCCTTTAAGTGCTCTATTTAGAAAGAAACATCACAGTCAACATCATTTCTAAAACCTATCACTATTCCTGCCTTTGAACAAAAATTATCAACAGCTGATGCCATTTGAAAACCTAGATACTACTCAGAACAGACGTAACAAAAACAGCTGCCTCAAAATAAAAAGGTTTCAGAGCTTTCAGAGTGAGTGGAAATTGTGTCAGGTCTGTTTAGGTGAGTTTAGGGTCTCAGCACAGGGTCTTTATATACCAGATTCATATTAGCATGATTAGGTTCTTCAGCAGACTGCTTGCTCAAATTCACAATCAATGTCACACAATCAGCTGCTGCAAGCAGAACAGGCTGAAATGATCACAAAGACTACTAAAATATGTACAATTTGAATGGATCATGCATCATTAATATTGTTCTATTAAAGACATATGAGTGACGTAGGTAACAGAATTCTTATTAAATCAGTAACTACAATAACTGTAATGCTTTATTTTAGTTCATTAGAGGAAAAAGTAATCACATTACTTTGTTCTGTATTCTGCATTACCTCCAATTCTGCTCATAGCTTATTAAAACAAACAAAGGAAATTCTGCCAAAAATGGGATTTCTGAGTTTTTTTATAAACTGGATGAGATTTATTAGTGAGAGGTTATATTTATTATAATTTGAATTCGATGAAAACCTTCTGCCGTTTACAGCTTTGCATTCTGGGAAGAAGAACTCCCCTTAACACATGAATACAGAATGTAAACAAAATATAAACTATGTAATAAACTGTGTAATTAAATATCTATATATAAATAATCATCTAATGTAAATGTGTAATTATATACATTTAAAGCAAAGTGATTCTAATAACTCTAGACTTGTAAAGGTTAAAATATTTTAAGCTAACAGCAGTACTGGGTAGCCTTAGCAGCTATTTATTTTCTGATCTGAACAGAGCAAAAAACAATGGTTTGTGTCAGGAACAGATATAGTAATACTTCTCACTGCCTTGAAAAGAGCACCTCCCTATAGTGCAGCTTCGCTGACACGATTTCTTTTTGAGAATATCAGCTCGATACACTTTGAATAGACAAGTAACACAACACAGATTCCATCGCTTCTGTAAAAGCAAGTACAGTACAGTGGAGTGAACAGCTATGATGAAATAAGACTTACTCACAAAAAGGCATTAACCAGCGCATCAACAACACACAGGCCAGCCCCAGAAGTGAAAGACACACAGATGGAGGCTTTACTTAAATGTACAGAGTACAATGTAATAAAATAATAAAGTAAAGAACAGGCTCTGATTACTGGACTGTAGTATTTAGTGAGTGAAGAGTGCCTTTAGGGAATATGATAAAAACATAACTGAGCAGCACATGCTTCTGTGATACAGGTATGGACGCCCATTTAGCAGCCAATGAGCCACACAAACACCTCCGCAAGAGGGGAAGCACACTGAAAGCGTCTGCGTCACTGTGACTCAGCTCCTGTGACTGCTCACAGATGAATAACAAAAACAAAACAAAACAAAAAAAAAGAAATAGAATGAATGCCCGGAGTGACAATGGCAAGAGAGAGACAGGCAGAGAAAGAGCTCTCCACTGGATGTGTCACATAAGCCAAATGATGCTAGAACACGGAAGAGTACCTGAGTCACTTTGACATCTCCTGCAGGTGTTGGTTTCTGTAGGGTTCAAATTCAACATTTTACTCGGAGGGGCAAAGCAACTTCAACACAACAATGACAGCATTAAGAAGAACTCAGTTCCCTAATGAGTGAATCAGTGAGGCACAACTGGCCCTTATACAAAAAATCAGGAAGCCCTAAGTAGCTTCATGGGGAAGTACTGAGTTAGGCCCTGCAAGAGGTACTAAAAAAGACCAGAAATATGCCAGGTTGCTTGCACATTTGTCATATATCCTAAGTACTTGCTGGAAGAATTTAGACAAATAATAAATAGCATTGTGCCTCCTATATTAGCATATCCGTTTATGTAATATGCATGTAATATTTATGTAACCTATATGGCTGGCTTTACATGACGCAACGTCCATACAACTTCACGTCCTTGAAAATAAAAGTTCCAAAGTTGGAGCAATGGTAACAGAAGAGCCACTTTTTGCTTCCTAAAGAACCTTAAATTCATAGTTCTTCAAAGAATCTTCTTGGCAAATTTCCAAATGAGTATGAAGAACCATTTTAAAGTTTAAAGAACTGCCAAAAAATGTAAAGCTTCTACCAACTGGTTCTACCAATTAAAAATTAAGCTTTTTCTGCACCTATATGTCCATGCTAAGAATCACTTAGGGACTTTAAGAGTGTTTAAGATGTTCTAAACTTATTACTTCTTTGATATTCAACAGTTGCAACTGTCTCAAATTTGTGACGCTTCATGAAACAGCCAATCAAAACAGCCCTAACACACCATGACACATGAAAGAATACCATTTCAATGGACAAGAAGACTGTGGTCTGTTGGATGGTTGAAAAGAAGATCTTCCTGATTAGCTTCACAGCAACATTGCTTATTTGCTGTTAACTAGCCAGCTAACATTAACACGACTCTCTGAACAGCTGCTTGTGCCAGCATTTGTTCTGCTTAGTGAGTCTGCTATTACTACGTGTAACGATATGCTGTATGAAAAATACAAGCTACTAATCTAATCTTTACTAAAGCAGTGAAATACTACTTTGATTGTTTTGAATTGCTCCATTTAAGCAATCATGTTTTATGAAAACTGCAACTAGATGCATGAAAGTTTCAACATGTACAGGCAGCTTAGCACTGGACATATCACACAACCTTAAATATTGTTCTACCTCACTTTCAAATGACACAAATGCATGCGGAGCAACACATCTGAGGCTATATTTATTGCAGAGACTTCAAAAATCATGTCAAAATTGACTTAATAAATGACAAACATTTCTGTTGCTCCCTCTGTACTCTTATTTCATTTGCATTGCCTTTTTGTGCCACTTTACTTTCAAAATACAGTCACAACTGCAGAGTAATTCACTAGTATATTACATAAATGCTTGATAAAATAGTGCTCTAGTTGTCCCTTTGATCAAATATGATGCAGGTATTTCCTACTCTTCTGTACAGTTTAACCGCTCTATCATTTTCACGAAAGAAGTTTCAGTTGCAAATGCTTTCAGCTGCAAAAGGTTAAAGGTCATGTATTGCTCTTTGACTTAAAACAATGTGCATAATGTATGAAACATGAATTTCTACAAACTGAGGCAGATGAAACTGAATTGCTGAGTCAATTCTGAATCAATTTCAAGATTTAGATCTTCTTATGCCTTCCACAGCCCTCTCTGGCTCTGCCTTGTCAATCTAAAACACTAATACTGAACTCTGCTTGTGTTAAACATGAATACTTGAACAGCATTGGAAAAGTCAGGCCGTCCTCAGCTGTATTAATATCCTCTAAAGCAACGAGTTCTTGAGGTGTATTCTATGTCTGAAAATCTAGCGAGACGCAGTCTACAAACACAAACTCTAAAAGAGCAGAGGCAGTGTGCCACTAACCACACTTCACTGAAGAGGAAGTTTCACTTGTGAACAGCAGGGTCCTGATTACAGAAAACCGCAATACATTTCACCGTTACGTCTGTTAATATTCTCGCTCAGACTGCGAGCATTAACAAGACTTCACACACTTTTACTGTGCCAAAGGCACCTTCAGTTCTAGACGGAGCAGGTTATGATCCTTGTTGTCCTGCATGCTAATTCTTTGAACTGATTCTATGAACTACTGAACTGCATTTTGCAGACACAGTCATGGCAATCCAGTCATGATCTTCTTTACATGGGCTTAATTAACATTTACTTGTATGTCATAGTACCTTTATTTTATTAAAATAGAACAGGTTTTTAGTAGACATTGACTTTATCAGAAAGATTAACCAGAGTCTGCCAAAACTATAGTATGGCATAGGCTTTGAACTCAAAAGAAGCTGTGGAAGGTTGATAGATATCAGTTTGCTTACAGATGTTTATCACATAGCTTACTATACGACCTTGAATATTCAGTCTTTACTGCTTAACTGTTTATCCGTAAATATATCCCACTTATCATACTGTACTACCATCCATGCTAACACTTAGACATATATTTACTGTACAGCCACAGGATGGGCATACATTTATTAAGTTGTGGACAGTAAAAGTAGAAATACTCTTGGTAAAATATTACTAGCATAGTAATATAGTGTAAGTGCTCTGTTTATATTTTTACTTGAGTTAAAGTACAAAAGTATTTGCTTTAAAATGTACTTAAGTATCAAAAGTAAAAGTATTGTGAGATATTAAAATATTCCTTCTCTTGTATCTACAGTTACTGATATGCATACACAGTTATATTCAATAATCTACAATTAGACATTCAATACTTAGGGTAGGGATTTAGAGAAAGATGCACTACTGGTATGATTTACTCATGTAAGCGCATCATGTTCTTTCATGTATTATGGAATTTTTTTTTTTACTTTGCAGTATATTCTAGAAAGTAGTGGACTAAAAAGTACATATACTTTAAAAAAAGTACTTACTATAACTATGTACTAATTATGTTTTTCTGAGCATATTGTGGATATCGCCACTTCTTAAAAGCACTTAACAGCTGCATGTTTGATTACAAAGAGAGCATAATTAGTCCTGTTTAACTGGATTTAATGTAGTGCAGTAAGTGAAATGTTGAATACAAATCGCTGTATACACAGGTTTAGATAGTATTTTTACATGTGGCACTACTTTGTCTATTACAGCTATATAATTCTTAAAAGTTCTTAAAAGTGGTCCATAATGCATTTTGCAATAAAATCTTCCCTATAATATCCTTCCTATACTGTGACCTATCATGAACCATGAAAACTTCTAGAAGCTTTGTAATATTACATTTTTACCATATTGTGTACCACAGCAGTTATTAGGGATGTAAATCTCTACCTTCAGAATGATTCCGTTAAATTGTGATTTAGTGTATCATGAAATCTCGGTTTGAAAATCAGATTTACCTTCATTCGATTAGCTTTTTTGATGGGATTTTGGTATGATTCAGAATGATTAAAAACCACTGAATAAACAAACAGAAGTGGAAAAAATATTTGTAGTAGAACACGGACATTTAAAAAAATATGCCCCAGTCTTTTTAGCATATTTTTAGATTTAAAAGTAGCCTACAATGGCCAAAACTTATTTTTGATAATTTATCCTAAAATTCAACATCAATTTTTTTTAACTGCCACCTTCCAATCAACACATCATCAATCATAATTGCATTTTTACAACCTTAGCATATTTCAGCTTACAAAGACAACTGTACTTTTCAGTGCTTCTGCTGTGTGGGAGAAGGCTGTGTTTATGTTTTCCCTCTCTCTCCCACTATCTCTCTTCAAGCACAATGAAGATCCAGGCTAGTGGAAGCTAGACTGGACCTGCTTCAGTGCTGTGAGATCCATCACATCACTCTGTTTCCTTCAGAATGAACACTTCCTCCCAAATAAAGAAGGCACCCACTCATTCTTAAACTTTAAAAGAACCTGCACGTATATCATTCACTCTTGCTGGCGTGACCTTCATGCCTGCACATAAATAAAGCACTCTGTCAGTGCTTCCTTAGCACTGATAGCACAACAAAGGAGACGTTTGGCAGTCCTAACTAGAATAAGAGCGCTGTTGAAGCTCAGACAGGGAGGGGCGGAAAACTGGACCAAGGCCATCGTCATGGTAACAGCCGCTCTACCCCCACCCCTCCCCGCTACAAATCAAACTATTAGGATAGGAGTTGGACAGATTACGCCTTCTTATATTCAGTTACACTCACAATAAAGGTTCCTAAACAGTTGTTGGTTTAGACATGCCTTCTTAGGAAAAGGATCCAGGAACCTTTATGTTGGTTCTCCTATGGTATCACTCCCAAGAACCCTTTTAGGTATTTTTATTTTAAAAAGTGTACAGCTACAGAGCGTTCACATTTTAGTGTATCAACTCCTAGAAGTTTTTTTAACATGCTTTAGCTTGTTGAAGCGGAGCAAGTGAAGTTCATCAAAACAAAGCAGCAAACTGATCAACTGGCTTCCAGCAATCCTTTCTTATTTTTTCTTAACTAGTGCCTAAACATCTGGTATTTCAACTATGACCTTCTCAGGATCGACTGTGAAACGCAGAGATCTTTCATACTTTAACTGCGCTTGCCTAAAGACACTAAAGGGGAAAATAGACATTTTACAATCTTTTGAAAACGCAAATAGTACGCAAACCACAAATTAGTCATCCAAATAAGGGTAATGTCCCTTCAGTGGAAAAGTGCACATAAAGCAAAAACAGCCTTCAGTTCTTCAAACTCTAAAATGACAGCAGACGACTCACTCCTATACTGACATACTGAAATGACCACGCATCCAATGGCCAGTGTAGCCATGCGGTTGGGCTGTAAAGAGGCTTCGGGAGCTGCTCTGTGTGTAATTGGGCGAGCGGTTGGAGCCAGGCTGTCGCGCGGCTCATGTCAAACTGCTAAAGGACTGGCGAGAGACAGGGAAAAAATGGCCTCAAGTAGGTCAGCTCTTCTCCTAGAGATAATCAAGCCCATTCGGACCCTGTGTCTCTCTCTTTTTCTCTCTGTGTCTCTCTCCCTCTCTCTCTCTCTATGTGTGAGCAGGAAGTAGGTCAAATG